CAACTCCCAGCGCCGAAGGGGGTAGCGGGCGCGACGCTGGCGCTTCAAGCAGCCGGCGCGGTCTCCGGGGGGAAGGGGCCCCGCCGGGTTTGTGGGGCGGCCGACCGCGGCCCTCGAGGTCGGAGGGAAGACGGGAGGCTGAGGCGAGGGCGAGGAAAGGAATAGGGGAAACGCCTTCCCAGCCGCCCCTTCCCGGCTTCCTTCCCAGCCTGGCCCCGAGGGAGCCCCGCCGCCCCCACTAAGAATCTCTGTTATTGGTGGGTAAATTTAACTTAAGCTGGAAAAGGAACCTCAAGGGGATGAAAGGAGGAGGCGTGGAAGAAGGAGAGGAGGGTGAGAATTGCAGCAGTTTAAGGTACAGGAGGTCTCTTGCACCAAAACTACCCAGGATGCAGTGAATATTTCCATGTGGACAGAAGCAGTCATCTAAATGCACAAATGGCTTGATTGCCCCAATTAAGCCTGACCCAACCTGGGATACCTTCTCTGCCCATGCATGTGTTTTGTGCCGTCAAGTAGGAACCAAATTATACCAGCCCTAATAGAGCTTTCAAGGTAACAGATATTTTAAAAGGTGGTTTTAGGAGGTCTCCTCCCCCAGTCTGCTTCCATGGCTGAGCAGGATTTGAGTTTTCAGACGGGAGAGACTCTTCTGGGAGTCATTGTGCTCCCACCGGCAGATTCCTCCAGCAAGGATTAACCCGGAACATCTGAATCTGCTTCCGCTGGATTGTGGAGCCTCAGATGGTGACATATCTCCCGAATGGAAGGTGGCCTTGGACACAGGCAATCGGCAGGCCTGCTCCAACCCGAAGAGCGAGTGTCAGGTTGAAAATCAAGACTGGCAGCTGCCTTTCAACAGACAGTTCCTCACGAGGTGGTCCTGCTTCTGCTGAGAAATTCTGCTCAATCTCCTCCAACATATTGTTGCTGGTAGTAACAGTTTATTTTATAAAGATCCCCATCATAGAGTTTGCCCTTCACTTTTCTACAATATCCCCAGATCTCAGCAGCATGTTTTTGAGTGTACGGGGTAGCCTTTCCTGGAGACATATTTAGCCCTATTTTGAGCAGAACCTCTGAAATCAGTGGGGCCAATAGAGGGACAGGCTATATGGCAATTCCACAGATCTCCTGAGGAGTGTTCTGACTATGACTAAACGATGATCCAGCCTGTGAGACTGCTTTACAGGACTCATTGGAATCCCCATTCAAATCTAGAGCAACCTCCAGGAGTAATGTGCCCTCTGAGAGAGAGAGCTCCATTTGGGAGCAAGCAAATGAGGTTTCCATTTTAGGTCAAGAATCCTTTTGGCAAGCCAGGAAGCTGCCTCTGGAGCAAGACTCTGGTTCCATCTAGCTCAGCTGGACTGTGTTGATTACTGGAGGCATTCAAGAGAAAACTAGACAACCATAGAATCATGAAGTTGGAAGGGGCCTAGAAGGCCATCAAGTCCAACTCCCTCCTCAATTTAGGAATACAAATCAAAGGATATCTGCCAGGTGGCTGTCTCTTAACTTTCTTTAGAATGCCTCCAAGGTAGGAACACTCACCACCTCCTCTCAAGGTCATGGGTTCCACTGTCCTACTGCTCTAACAGGATGTTTTTCTTGATAATCAACAGAAATCTGGCTTCCTGTAACTTAAGACCATGGTTGCGTGTCCGGCACTCTGGGATGATTGAGAACAGCTCCTGGCCCTCCTCTGTATGACTCTTTGAAGAGTGCCATCCTAGCTCCCCTCAGTCTTCTTTTCTCAAGGGTAAACATAACCAGTTTTTTTCAGTCTTTCATTCCAGGGTTTGGTTTTCATCCTCCTGATCATCCTTGTTGCCCTCCTTTGAACTTGTTCCAGTTTGTTAGCATCCTTCTTGATGTGTGGTGCCCAGAACTGGTCAGAGTACTCAAGATTAGGGCTAGCCAGTGCCGAATAGAGGGGAACTAGTACCTTGTGGGATTTGGAGACTATATTTTTATTAATGCCGCCTAAAATAGCATTTGTCTTTTTTGTAGCCACATCACACTGTTCAGCTTGTGATCTACGACGATTCCAAGGTCCTTCTCACTCGTAGTATTGCTGATCCAGGTATCCTCCATCTTGTCTGTGTGTTTGGTTTCTTTGTCTGCGATGCAGGACCTTGCACTTATCCCTGTTGAATTTCATTCTCTTGTTTTCAGCCCAGTGCTCAAGCCTATCCGGATCATTTTGAATTTTTCCTCCTGTCTTCCATGGTATTAGCTATTCCGGTTTTGTGTCATCCACAAATTTGATTAGCATTCTCTACATCCCTTAATACAGATCGTTAATAAAATTAAAATGTTGAAATGCACTGGGCTACCATCTATCAGATCTGCTTTTATTTGATTTGCATTTAACACAGGTTGAATTTGATGGCCTTTTGGCCGCTTCCATGATTCTATGATTCCACGCTGTCTTCAGAGTTTCAGGCAGGGAGGGTTCGTGCTCACTCCAGTCCCGCTTGCAGACACTTGGGAGAGAAACTGTATCTTCTGCACACCCATCAGTTGCTTTAGGGCCCCTGCCTGGGATTGCCTCTTTTTCTGCTCTTGGGGCAAAAAGGGAGGAAAAAGCCACTGCCGTTAAGCCTGCAGGTGACTGGGATGACGACAGCATGTTTTTCTTGGCTGAAGGACCGGTCCTTCTTGCCTTCTAGTAATTCTGGAGAAATGGTATTTCCATATCATGTTCGTATCTTTGATGACAAGTTGTATGTTTCTGAGGCATTCTTCAGTCAGCCTCTGCACAACACAGACAATTCTTGCCTGGGGTGTTTGTAATATGAGTTCAACCAACTTGTTGGTAGAGTCTTCATTTATTTGTATAATTCTCTGAATGCAAATATTCTGTACATTCACTCCAATGAAGATTTCAGAACTGCTACATGTGAATTAAGAGGTATGTGTGTGTGAGAGAGAGGGGGGAGTCAGGGAGCAGCTATTAAAATGATTCAGGACAGAGCGAAATATAGTGGGGGGTGACAGCTACAACATTTTGTGAGAGGGAAGGGCAAGAGGACATTGTTTGCCCCTAAGCTATCCCCAGATTTAAACAGCTTGCATAGCCTTGGTGTCAGCCCCCCTGGGCTGAATGTACTGCTGCTCAATGCCAGATCTGTAAAGGGGAAAACGACAGCCATCCAGGACTTGATCCTTCAGGGGCAGGCCTATCCAGCTTGCATTTCAGAGACTTGGTTGGTTGAGGCTGGGGGTGTCAATCTCAACCAGATTTGCCCACCAGAATCTTTTGTGCAGCAGCAGGCAAGACCTGGGGGATGGGAAGATGGCATTGCAGCGGTCTGTCATGAGTTTATCTTCCTCACCAGATGTCACGTCCACAAGTTTTCTGGGTTCAAATGTATGTATTTGAAAGTGGGAGCCCAGGACAGAATAGGGATTCTGTTGGTGTAGGGCCCACTATGCTGCTCAACGGTAACTTCCTTCCTGGGCTAGCTGGTCTCAGGGGTGGAGTTGGAATCTCTTTGGTTTGTTGTGCTGGGGGACATCGACATCCATGCTGAGGCAAAAGAGTGACCTAGGACTTCATGTCCTCCGTAATGACCATTGGTCTGTTCAAATTGTATCTGCCCCCACCCATGCTACAGGGCACACTTTAGACCTGGCTTTCTGTAGTGGGGTAGATGTTGGTGATATGGGTGTGGAGGAACTGTCTGTAGTTCTGTTATTACGGACAGCTCATTATCTGGTGGGGTTTAGACTCACTGGAACTCAGAGCCTCTGCAGGAGTGCAAGCCAGTTAATTTGCTCCATCAGTGTGGATGATGTAGCCGCTCCCAGGCAAACCAACAGGAATTCCTGCAGCTGAATTCTGAGCTAGCTGGCGCTTTGGAACAATTTCAAAGGAGACCTGTGCACAACACATCACAGCTTATTTGTTTATTTTTATTTTATTAGATTTATACCCCGCCCATCTAGACCAAAGGTCTACTCTGAGTGGCATGTTGTTTATTGATCTGTCTGGTTCTTATTATTTTATTTCTTTATATAAATTGTTTTCCTATTGTATTTGCTTTATTTGTCTGTTAACTGCCCAGAGTAGTGCCTTGCAATAACTGGGCAGTATAAAAATGGATTAAATCAATGAAAAATTAAAAAAATAATCCAACAGGGAGATTGCCAGCTCTTCAGCCACCACAGCCAGACTGTCTTTGTCCAAGGGAGGCCACCACTAATGATCCAGAGAAAGGGGCTGAAAGTGCTCCAAGCCACTGAGGCCACTTGGGCATGAAGAGGAAGTGTTGGAACAAGAAACGCCCCTAAGGGGCACACCTCCTTCTTCCGAAGGGGTGTGTGTGAAGCTGTCCTTGCGATGGGATGTCCACTCAGCTCCTGGCCTGGAGGATGGCCGGCCGGCAGTGCTGGCCTTGCTTCTCCTGACGGCAATGGGCTCTCTAGTAGGCCCCACTCCAGCTCACCGCTGCCCCGTCAAGGTTCTTCTCTCACGCTGGCTTCCAGGTCCAAAGTAAATGGCAAGATAGAATGTACCTGTGCAGTTCAGGTGTGCCTCACGTGCCAGCAGGGATGAAGGCCCGGAGGCCTCCCAGGGGGGGGTAGACATGGCCTGTGCTCGACAACATTCCAGCCAGCTGGTTCACGGGGCTTCCCACGGCCCTTGCAGGCGGCCTCATCCTGCAAAGCCGGCTCCGTTGGCGTTGCTCTCTTTGCCGAGGTGCGCCTCGCATGGGCTTTGTCTCTCAGACCTCATGGAACCTTTGTGCCACAATTTCCCCTGCATCCCCCCTCTCCCCCCCCCCCCATAAATGATAAGGCTAAATTTCCGCAGAGGATTCCCCACCTTTGCCCCTGGCCACACAGGTGGAGGGATTTCTGCTTTGATTCCACAAGTGCTCACTTTCTTCCTGTTGGTGAGGAAATAGTTCCAAATGTTTCAAGTGGAAATTCAGAGTGCGGTGGAGTTCTGCTGAACTCTCTTGCCTGTGTTGTGGCAAAGTGTAAGCGGCCACAATCCTCATCGCACATGTCCACGCCCACCCACCCACCCCCGGCTTCTGCTAGAACAGGCAACAATCCAGTCCTGCAGCCCCTGCCCTCCCTTCTCCTGGGGTGTGCGTGTGTGTTAAATCTTCCTCCTAAGTCTCAGCAAAGGGGTGTGTGCGCGTGGAACGGACACAAGTGAGGCTTTGAATGGCAAAGACGAAAGAAGGGTTTGGACTGAGATGAAGTAGCTCTCAGGTCAGCAAGTGGGGTTTGGATGGAAACGTCTGACCTCCCTCCAAAACAAAGCCTGTATGGAGCAGAGCGGGCAGACGAAAACCCTAGGAAGAGAATCAGCTCCCAGGTAGAAAGAGAGCCTTGCGTTCGAGCCACTGTAATAATGGAGAGAGAAGGGAGCCATCCCGACAGCGACTTTGTCTCACTCTTGGAGGTCGCAGGTGCAGCGATGCGGGTGCTGAGCCTCCAAGCCCTGCTTCCTTTGTTGCCAGTCGCTGGCAACTTCCTTCTTTTACAGTATGTACAGTACCTGTGGAGGAAATGGTAGCCTGAGCCTTGGGTTGCTTGTGGAAGGATGTGTCCTTATGGCAGGGAGAGTAATGCGCGGTGGAGGGGGGGAAGAGAGTCAGGGAATAGCCCCCAGTATTGTTCAGGGCATGGGAAGAGATGGGGGGGGGAAGCAACTTCAGCATATGATGTAAGAGGGGAGGGCAAGAAGGCCCTGTGCTGTTCATGAATTTACACCATTTGGGCAGCCTTGGTGACAGGACGCCTGGGCCGAAAGTGCTGCGGCTCCATGTCAGGGAAGGCAACAGCCATCCGAGACCCGGGCCTGCGCGCACACGCTGTTCTGGTTTGCATTACAGACACCTGGTTGAATGAGGTGAGGATCAGGCCCATACTGGGCAAACAGTTAAGATGCCTTTCCTGA